AGCATTTACGATAGCACCTGGCATGTGATAAGTGCCCAATAATTGTTACCAATGATTATTATTTAAATCAGCACCCATGGTGCCTGGAGACAGTGTGGGTGCTCACGATAGGTCTGTTGAATAAGAAAAGAGACAGTTTTGATTCTGCTTTCAGCTCTGTCCAAGAGAGAAGGGCCATTCTTTATGACTTTAGTGCCTCTCTGAGCTCTGTCCTTATTGGCCCAGCCATGCCTCCTTCTCTGATGACAACCAGAGTTCTGAAGGTCCCTCGCCATTTTCAGCCAGTTCTCACTGAAGTGTCTGCTCCTGTGGGGCCCTCAGACACAGAGGGGTTCATCCCATACTCCAGCCGGAGCCTCACCTCACTCCATTTCCGTTTGGCTCCAGCTGCTAGACAGCGCACAGCTCCAAGGCTTAATTGCCTTCTGCTTCTTTGTTGCCAAACACTAAAACCTTGTTGTTGGAGTTAAGTGTTTTGGGAAACAGGCTGTATTATTTCACCAACAGAGGCTTCGAAAAGTTGGAACTGCTGAACGAGCCGCCAGACCCGACCTTGGGCCTTCAATCGGCACACCTGTACTCTCCAGGGAGGATGTGTGGAAACGCTCCCTGTGAGCTCTGTGAATTAGTTTTCAAGATGCCCTGCTCCTGCAGTGACCTTCAGTGGCACACAGTAGGCTCTCCACTGTTATTTTAATATTATGAGTTATTTAAGACATTAAAAGTATGATAACAGTGAACACTTACATCACAGTTACCTTGTGCCAGTGTTTTAAGCACTTTATGTATACTAGCTCAATGGTTCACAGACTCTCCTCCACGTTAGAATCAGCCGGGTAATTTTTTTAACGTCCTGATGTGCAGGCCACATCTTGCACCAATGAAATTAGAATCTCTGGGCATCAAAAGTTTTAAAAACTCCCCTGGCGATTCAAATGTGCAGTCAAGGGTGAGAATTAGAGAAGCAACTCATTTAATCCTCACGGCAAGTCTATGAAGCAGGTGCTGTTACTAACCACGTTGTGTACTGAGGAAGCTGAGGCAAAACAGACAGGTTAAGTGACTTGCCCAAGGTCACACAGCTGATAAATGTCAGAGCCAGGTCTGGAACCAGGTTATCTGGTCCCAGAGTCCACACTGTTAATCCTACAACAATACAACTACGACACTGCACTATATTCCACAACAGAAGCCTGAGTTTCTCCCCCTTTCTTCTCTGTCCCCATCCCACTGCACAGGGATGTCTCATCCTCTTGTGATCGCTCCTGAGCATTTGTTTCCAAAGTCTACTCTTTGGTCTTCTCCCCTTCAGTCTCCAGCCCTCTAATTCAGCTCTGTCCCAGATGATCACAATGCATTCCACATATGTAATTTTAAGTTTTCTATGGGTCACACTAAAAAAGTAAAAAGAAATATAAGTGAAATGAATCTTAACACAGTATTTTCCTGATATACCTGAGATATTATCCTTTTGACATGTCATCAACATTAAAAAATATTAATAAGCTAGTCTACATTTCTTTTTTTTTTTTTTGGAGTAAATGTTCAAAGTCAAAGGAGAGAAAAGGATTAACTCTGTTGCTGTCTGCCCACTTCCCGGCTAGCCTTCCTCGGCTAACCCACTTTTCATTGATCAGTTTTCTGGAAATGTGAAATGACATTCGCTTGAAGAAGAGATGAGAAGGAAAGTGAATCTGCTTCATGTAATCGATGGTTCATGAAAACAGAGTATAAATAAAATGTCTGTAAGTGAGAGCACATTTTAAATCCCCTAATGTTGCTGGTGTATAGTGGAATCCTCTCATGAGTTCTGGTATAAAGAGGAAAGAGCATCAAATTGATCGTTTTGCAAAGTACGTTTTTGTCCCCTCCCTCCCCGAGTTGGGAACTGCTTACAAGTGAGATCCTGCTGCTGTTTCAGCAAAGCTGGGTGACGGTGCTTTTGTGTCACCCCAAGTAAAAATCACTTGGGGTGGATTATCTGCTTCTTTGATCCCCTGAAGCGTTAACCCTCTTTGTTATCACAGCGGAGAGAGATATCACAGGGAGAGCCAGCTTGTGGGAGTAACTGAAAGACAATGCAGAGTATTGTTTCATGCTCTTTAACTCAGGGTCTTGGCCATCTGACTTCCTCGTATTGTCAGCCATTGGAAATGTGACCACTAAACTGGGACTTAGGTATTAAAACCAACTCCACGTAAAGTTAGGCTTCCTAATTGAACACGTGTAATCCATTATTTCTCTTGGCAAGCTCACTTTTTTTTTGCTGGGAGAGATGCCAGAGAGCCAAGGAGGAGAGAGGGGAAGGGTCAGTTAGAGAAACAGCTGCCTGGAGCCGTTTAGTGCAAGTTCAGGTAGCAAATCCTCCACTACCCGAGAGCATCACTGGGGGACAGAGAGAGCAACGCTGAACTGATAGGCACACTCCGGTATTCTAGGATCAGCAAGGCAGGGGATTTAAAGAAGAGGCATTGGAAAAAACCTAACTTGCAAACACAGAGAACAGATCGGTGGCTACCTGAGGCGGGGCGGCGGGGCGCGGGGTGAAGGAATTGGGTGAAGGTGGTCAAAAGGTACGAACTTCCAGTTATAAGATAAACAAGTCTCTGGGATGTGAGTGTACAGCATGGCGACTACAGTTAATAATACTACTGCGTATATTTGCAGGTTGCTAAGAGAGGAGATCTTAAAGTTCTTATCACATTAAAAAATGAGGTGATTTTAAAAAAAGAGGTAATGATGAATGATAGCTAGACTTAACTGTGAAAATCCTTTCATAATATATACATACGTTAAATCGTTATGTTGTACACCTAACGTGAACACAACATTATAGGTCAATTATATCTTAATTAAAAGCAATTACAAATAAGAGGGAGGGTATAATATAGCTCAGTGTTAAAGTGCATGCCCGGCATACCCAAGGTCCTGGGTTCAATCAGTACCTCCATTAAACAAACAAACAAACAAATAAATAAATAAATAAACAAACCTATTTACCCACCCCCCAACAAAATGTAAAAAATAAAATAAAAATAGGAAAAAAAAAAGAAGTGGTGTTACAGTGTTTTGGAAGAAAGACTGGGGATGAGAAGACGATGATGCCATTATTAACCACTTCATGCTGTGAAACTCCTCTCCTCCTGGGTTTCCTGGCTTGACGGGTACCAGACACGTAGGGCCATTCTCAGTATAGTCTGAGTGAAGGTTCCAGGGTCAAGCCACATCTAAATTACTAGAAATGCTTAAAATACACTCGCGTTAAGATAACCAAAAGTTCCAACATTGGCTTCTCCCCTAATGGATCATCTTGGGTCCTGCCACCCCTTCCACCCCCGCCGAGCCCCCCGACTTTGGAGACCACGGAGCTGGGAGATTCACTTACCCAGCATCTCTTTTCACAGGGGTACATACTCCAGTGTGGGCTCTGATAAAAACCTTACATGTATTTTATGCTCTTTTAAAACTAAACTGGCACTTTCACACCTGCTGCAACGCTGAGGGATAAAACACCTGCGTTCTTAGTCTTTCCTTTTTCTCTTGACTGATGTTGTAGGTTTTAACTCCGGGTTTTCCCTTAGCTTTACACGCAGGGTATGTCTGAGGACAGTCCCTCCCACTGCCGGCCCACCAGCCCTGGGAGAGGCGGGGCCCATCCCCAGGGGTGTCTAGAATTTGGCCATGCTCGTGCACGAATCCCTTTTCTCACTCCTGCTGCATTCATTAGGATTCCTTTTGTTGCAAGGGAAGGAGACCACACTGGATCTGGCTTAAGCAGGTTTTAGCCCCCTAACTAACCATTCGAAGGTCTGTCTAGATCTGAGTGCTCCCACGGTGTCACCAAGGTTCGGTGTCTCTCTTCCTGAATTTCTCAGCTTCAGTTTCCTCTCTTTGTTGGCAATGTTTCTGTGCGGTGGCTCTCAGAAGCTATACACTTATTTTATCCTTATTGTCAACAATTCCAGAGGAAAAGCTCCTTGTTCTCACCAGTTCCAACAAAGTTCAAGGGGGTGACTTTTACTGGATTACCCTACACATCCATTCCTCTGTTCCACTATGGTCCACGGCCCAGATCGGTCCTCCGGCAGTCTGTTTTTGTATGACCTCCAATCCCCAGAAGGTTTTTTACATTTTTAAAGGAGTATATACATAAGAAGAATATGCAACAGATATTTACTGTCTGTTCCTTTGCAGAGAAAAACTTGTCTGGGGCACGTGTGGTTTTAAAACCTCTCACGATAACCACTCAGGTGGCTCGGTCAGAGCAGCGGGACAGGGGGTCAGCTGGTACAGGCTTGGCATACAGTAGGGGCCCAATTACGATTCTGATGAAAAGGCTCACAGCAAAAATATTTCTCCCTGAGGCTCTTCTTTGAGCTTGGGAGCTGGGAGGTGATATATTGCCTCCCGCTAATCCCCAATCTATTTCAGCAGTGAAAGATCTTCCCTTGTTTGAATAAGTACTCAGTTGTTAATGCTCGCCTTCTTCCCTTTTGGCAGAAGTTTTAATTTTGCTGGAGAGCATGATGCAAGCATAATATTAACATGAACCACTGGATGGAGCTACAGCTCTAAGAAACAGGCTCAGAAAAAAATGACAAGTAGGAGGGTGGGAGTAAGTCTTGTGATTTCAGCATCTCCCCTGCCCAAGACAGACAGACACATTCCAGACTTGGCTCTGCCACATACCGGCTATGTGACTGTCAACAAATGACCTTAAGAAATACGCTCTAGCTCCACTGATGTGAAATGGGGGTGCGGGTGGGGGTGGGTAACATCAGTACCTACTGAACCAAGTAATTGTGAGATTTAAATATTATTAGGTAATGATATCACCCAGCACTGGGCCTGGTGTACAACAAATGCTCAATACACGGTAACTGTATCTTATTATTAGGATCTGAATACCACATCCAAATCCCAGAGTTCTAGCTTTTTCCCAGCTGGACTTCAAACATTCAGCTCATTTTTATTATCCAGAATTTGAGGAAGAGGAGGAGGGTGAAGGAACCTGGAGAGGGAGTGGGTGGTCAGGCTGGAACATAGGAACAGAGGCTGGGAGACTGAGGCTGGGGTGAGAGGTAGAGGCGAGTTTCTACCTGGGAATGGCTCTCTCTCTCTCGAATGTTGCCAGAAGCCGGTGTGCAGAGGACCCTACTGTATCATGACGAGTATTCATAAGAATAGGCAGGAAGCAGGAATACAGTGTAGAGAGCCCGCCTCCACTGGGATAGCTGGTCAACCCAGTCCCCCTACGGCTGGGCACTGTGGGGTCGAATGGGGACGTTGATTCGGTTCTGCAGCCAGTTGATATAATCCTCTTGAGGCATATGGACGACGTGTTCTCGCACAAACTGATGGGCAAATACAATGGCAGCCTCAGATTTGGTCTGAAAGCTAGGCTCAGTGCCTCCTCCCTCCCCAACAAGATCCTGGAAGATCTGCGGTTGAGGCTGGGCGGCCTCAGGATGCCTCCAACCATCCAGGCACTTAGGATGCCTGGAGCATCGTGCTGGGGACGGTTCTCTCAAGAAAAGGACCCCTTTCTAGCACTCTGGTTCAGCAGGCTAATTTTAAGCCCTTTCTTGTTGCTACTGACCCAAAGAAATTTGGGGAGAACAGGAAAACCCAGTTGTCTGCATTTTTCTCTCTTCTCTGCTCCTTAATATTTCTTGTTGTTGTTGTTTTTGTTTATCTATTTTAATAGAAGTGGAACCCAGGACCTCATGAAGATAAGCATGCACTCTACCAATGAGCTATACCCTCTCCCCCTATTCCTTAATATCTTTTTAAAAAGCCATTTGTCCTTAAACTTTTTTGGGTCCATAGACCCTTTTAAGAATTGATGACAACAACAGGCTTGCTTCCAGGAAAGGGTTAAGACACAAAACACAGAGTTTCATATAGATTCTGGATTAAGAGACCCCCACATCTCGGTTATCAGAAGTTCTGGGATGTTCTCACTGGGATATGAGCATGCTAAGTTTTATTAGCTAGGGCCCCCTCCTCTCTGACCCACTCAGAGATCGCCTTTTCCATGCCCCCTGTAATTGGCAGGTGGAATGTGGATCCCATACACAGACAGTTGTCCTAGAGTTAGGTTTGGACCAGCCTGAAAGAGCTCCACAGGATGTGTGTGGGGAATGGAGTCTGCACACACGAATTTGTCTACAGGGTCGTCCCCTCTGTCCCCCACTCCCGACCTTGCACCCGTACACCCACGCCCACCCAGGTCAGCCTGTGCAAGGGCCAACCTGCCATGAAAACATCGAGAGGCCTGCCAATGCCGCCATTTGAGTCTCTTCTTTATCCTGAGGCACCGAAAGCCTGATTAAAATGTACTTGTGCCATCAGATAAAATGAAGGAAGCGACTCCACTAACATCTGTTAATACCTTAGTGTGGGCTCCTCGCCCTCCCCCCATCTGCTGACACCTTTGGATGCCCTAGCTGAGTACAGAGCACTGGGAGCTCCTAGGGTGGGCGGGGAGGGTAAACGACTATGGAAAACCACTCAGTGGCTCCTCAGCACCCTCAAGATAAACCTAAATCCTTGACCTTCAGAGAGCTGCGCAGACTGACCCCTTCAATCCCCTTGGGACTGTGCGCCTTCCTGCTCTCTTCCTTCCGAACCCATGGGCGGCCACAGAATTCCTCCAACCAGTCACGTTCTGTCCTGATCTGGGGCCTTTGCACCTGCTGTTCCCTCCTCCTGACCTGCTCTTTCCCCTTCTCTTCACGATGCTGCCTTCTCATTGTTCAGGTCTCAGCGGAAAAGTCACCTCCCCTGTCGCTCTAGTCACGATGAGCCTCCTCTTACATTTACCTTAAGTCTGTGCTCCTCAAACTTTATTGTACAAACAAGTCACCTGGGGTCTCATTTAAATGTAGGTTCTGAGTTGGCAGATATGGTTTGGAGCCTGAGATTCTGCGTTTCTAACAAGCACCCAGGTGATGTCCACGCTGTTGGCCCAGGGGCCCACAGTTTTGTTCCTTATTAGGACTGCCAGTTATTTTATTCAAGTGTCCATTTATTTATGTCTCTCTGAAGCCCTCAAGTCTCCAGGAGTCACTGCAGAGAACATAACGACCCCTGGAGTTGAACAACCCAGGTCACGTGACAATCCCTCTCCTGTTCGTTGATGAGTTCACTGAAGGCCTTTAGGTCTTTCTAAAGCTGTGTTCCCAGCACTTAAACAGAGCCTGGATGTTGAGAGATGCCTGGATGTGTGTGCCCGAGGCACGGTGAGGGGAAAGGAAGAGGTAGTCACCTCGATCGCCACTGCGATGTCCGGAGAGCACAGTTCCCAGATTCTCAGGTCCTGCAGCACCTTCAGGAGGACGTGCGGCCGGATCCTCAGGTCCAGATTTTCTCCAAACTTCTGCAGTTTTGACAGGATCTTTCTGGCGGGGCGGAAAGTTTTTAGATCCTCAGGGAGTTTGGACAGCAGGTCAAAGTACCTTCAATTCCAAGAGGAGAGACCCAGTTAGGAAACTGCTGGGAGATGGGTCTGGGCACCTCAGGTGCCCATCACCCCTATCTCTTTTTACCACTCATGGGATGTCTCCAGGGCGGCTTTGGTATTTACCTGGGGGACTTTCCTCCCTCCTAAATGCAAAGTATCCCCAGGTCAGGTAAGTCTTGATTTTTAGGGACTGTAAAAGCTGAAGTATGATTTGCATCACATTTAAAAAAATTAAGGGCACGCTTTAAAGCGATGCATTTATAATTTTTCTATCAAGCAGACAGTGTGAAAAGCTAGAAGGAAGGAAGGAAGGACATTGTCATTCTGAAGCTTCTCTTTTGGGAGTTAATCAGGCCAAGGAGGACACGGACACATCTGTGGGATACCTCCTAGGATGCAAGAGGCTCTCACACACAAGATGCTGCTGCTGCTGCTGAGGGTGTGTGTGTGTGTGTGTGTGTGTGTGTGAGAGAGAGTGTGCGTGTGTGTGTGTATCTTCCATGACCCTGACCAATGAGTAAGCTTGGATCATGGCTTTGTGTGTTTCAGTGGGTTTTAAGAGCCTTTATAAGTATTATGACAGTGTCTAAGGTGATTTGGAATTCCATCCTTGAGATGGTGGGAACAAGGTAGGTTCTAACCTGGGGGTTGTTCAGGTATGATCAAGACTTAAGGCAGTGGGTGGCATCTCATTTAGAAAAGGTTTTTTTCTTCTGATACATATACATGTGGAAAAATTTAAAGAAGAAATTGATCATCCATCATACATGTTGGAATCTTTTTTTTTCCTCTCTTTTTCTTTTCTTTTTTTATGAGGGGGAGGTAATTAGGTTCATTTCTTTATATTTGGAGGAGGTACTGGGGATTGAACTCAGGACCTCATGCATGCTAATCATGCACTCGTCATACATTTTGAGCTACTCATACTGCTTTGTATTTGTGATATATATTTATATATTTATTCAAGTCTCTTTGTAAGCTCCCATTTTGCATTATTAAAATTGTCAAAGGGTTTCTGGGTACATTTTTAGACTTTCCCATCTTACTCTTAGATCTTGATTCACTCACCCTGACAGGATGGAGGTTCAGGAAATCAGACTCTATATTGCAAATCATCATAGAAACGGATTAGATGGGGGTTAAATCCTAAAGTTTCTTTGTTTGTAAAGTGGGGGCTAATATGTACCCTTCAGGATGTTTTGTGGGGAATAAACTCGATAATTTATGAAAATTACTTAGGGTAGTGTCTGCCATCCAGTCACTCAATTCACATTGCTTTCTGTTGTACTCATTGTCAGCCCTGTGCTAGGGCACAGTTCCTGGGATATGGCTTTGTACCTTTACGCGTTAAATCATTTGGGGAATATGCGTCTTCCCTTGTAGACCTCAGAATCTATAGAAATTTTCAAGTTGGTTTGCCTTGTCTGCCTCTCTTATGGGGGCTGGCAAGTTTGTCCTTATTTGCAAGCCTGAATCAAACAGAAGGTAGATATGGAGAACACAGCTGGGTGGATTATCTGTGGTTCAGGAACTGAGGGCTTCTTGCCTGAGTGTACTCTGGAGGTAGCCTGTTTGGCCGGGGGGTTGGGTGGGCTGGGGGAGTGGATGCTGGTGGTCAAGGACAGTTTTGGAACGATGCCTGTTTGTGTCTTAAAGAATAATGGAATCAAATGTAATATTGTAACTCCAGAGCCTCCTGTACCCTTCAGGGACCGTCTTATCTGGCTCTCAGACACTTTACCAGTGGTCTGCAATTTCTTCTGAACCTCCTTTTACCACGGAGACTTGACGTCTCATCTTTGCTATATCCTTTTGGAAATTTGAGACACGGTTGAAAGCATGGAACTTCTGGAGAGCTCTTTCTTCTTGGCGCCTGCATCACAGGTTGTATGAGAAAGAGGAAGAAGAAATCAGATACCCTTCCCTGTGAATCATCCTAGCTTCCCTTTGAGATCTGAGTTAAACATCTTTTCTTTCATAAGGCCCTTAAGCCTCTGGGCCACTGTAATTTACAGCTCAGGGCACAGGATGGATGATATAGCTCTCTCCAAGGTCCTGAAATGCTCCTGTCTTGCTAAATCCAGTCGCTTTTTATCGGCCCTCATTCTCTCCCTATTTGGGTTGACAGAAGAGAAAAGCAAAGCTTCCAGTGGCCAGCTGGTGCTCTGAAAGGCAAGTTCCAAGTCTTAGTTATGACATTTACGGCTGTGCACGATGCCACTCTCACCTACCACTTCTTATTCCTCTTCAAATTTTCCATGTCCCTTCCTACTTTGGGACTTTGTATGCACTTTCCTGCTGCCTGGAATGTCCTCCCTTTTCACCGCACAGCCAGCTCCTCTTCATCTGTTAGGGCTCAGCCTCAAAGTCACCTCCCTAGAGAGGTCTTCTTGGATTACCCAACCTGAATTAGGTCCCCATGGCTTCTCTCTCTTTCTCCTAGAACCCTGCTCTCTTACCATATAGCAATGGCTATAATTTGTAATCGTATAATATATTGATTCATTTATTTTATCTCTGCCCACATCTTCCACATTTTCTGTCCTCAGTTCCCTGAGGGCAGAAACATGCCCTTTGTGTTTCCTGCTGTAGCCCCAACACCTAGCATCTGGTGGGTACATCGCAGGTGGCAGATGAATGTCCTTTGAGTGAATGGGTATATGTGTGTCCTTACTTTATGAAGATTTCCATCTTGTCCTGTAGACAGAAGCCAGCTTCCTGGGCCACACTGTAGAACTTGGCCCTCATGGTGTTACACACCCCACTCTTGCCATGCATGATGTCACGGTTGGCGCGGCTGTTGACACAGATAAGAAGGGCTTGGGGGCGGAGCCCATGGGATGGACCCATGAGACAGGCCTCCCTGGGTCCCTAGGTGCTCTGAAATAGGGATTCTCTGGATCCTGTCAGGTTCTCTACCCTCACCTGAAGCCTCCTTCAGCATTCCCCTGGACGTAGGAAGGATAGATCTTCCCAACAACATCAGGCTGGTGGGTCAGGCCTTATTAAATGAGCCCACAGTGAGACATCTGGTCATTTAAGCCCAGTGAATGTTAAGGATAGTGAGATGAAAATAGAATTTGGAGCTGGGAGACTCAGGTTCAAACTCCTGCACCATCACTTTTTAGACACATGGCCTCCAGAGAGACATTTCACCTGGCCAGGTTTCAGCCTGTTCCTCCGTAGAATGGAATGGCACCCCTGCTTCACAGGATTGACTTTGAGGAATAAGCAAGACAATGAATATGGAGTGCTTTGCCCAGTGCCAAGCATGGAGGAAGACTCTGCTGACATTGCCTGTGTTGTTGCCATGCATCTGAGCCATGAGCCCCTTCCCCTGGGAGTCCTTGGTCCTTCAGCAGTGTCTGTGGCTTCAGGCACCTGGTCTGCATTGTGTTATTTCAACACCCCTGGGAAGACAGTGTGGTTGCCATAGTCTCTCTTGCCTGGCCTCCTCAGTTGCCCACCTGGCTTACCTTTTAGGCTTCTTCTGCAGTAACTGGGAGTGGCTGTCTCCACTTGTACTGCTGGATCTGTCACTGGAACACAAAGGGATGGTCTCAAGTTGCTTGCAGTCTGATTTTCACAAAAAGGGGTGACTTCAGGGGCCCCATGATACCAGCTAGCCTTCAGGATTCAGGTGAGGGAGGAGATCCTAATCAAGGCATCGGTAACAGAACTCAACGTATATTTTCCCCCATATCTTGGTCTTTGTTCCTACTGGACACTCTACCTGAAAAGCCCTCCTTGGTTCTCTTCCACCTACTCAAATCCTCCTCTGTTTCATGGCTCACAGCAAGTTCTGCCTGCTCTGATTCTTCTAGTCCAACTTCGACCTTCTGCCTCTGCGTACTGTCGGGATGACATTTTCTGGACCCTAGTTTCATTTGTATAAAATTGGTCCCTCCACCTGGAGGATAGGTTCGTCTTAGACCCTTCCAGCTTCCTCTCTACACCTGTCCGCACTTAACCTGGAGCTGAGTGCAGATTTGGTGAAGGGAAGGTCCAGTCCTCCTAGGCACATTGTCTTTGGTGTTCCCAGCCCCAGAATGCCTCTTCATTCAAGGATTCTCTTCTCTAGACTGGACCCTTGTGCCAAACACCCATTTCACCCCACTTTGGAGGCAGGCAGAGCTGGGTTCAGAGCCCAGCCCTGGCACCACCACCTCCCAGTGTGTGGATAAGCACCTCTGCTCTGGATTGTCAGTTTCCTCATCTGAGATCAGTCAACTCTTCACATACTTTGACCCTTTCTAGGTGTGGGCTGATCGAATTCCTTAAGTGGCTGCTCCCTCCTGTGACTTTGCCTGGCTAGGGTTCCTAGTGGGGGTGAAGCTTGTTGCTCAGGCCCAACCTCCCCTCCCCTTTCAGGTCCTCCTTTAGTGACCCAGGCCTTCAGTGCCAGTGTCCACCACCTTTGCTCACACCTTGCCTCCCTTTGTTTCTTCCAGACACTGGAGATTTAACTTGACTGCTCTATCTGTGTGGTTATAGAGGCTCGTGAGACTGTTTTTCCTGTCCCTGTGATGTGTGGCTAACCTTTCCCTTCCAACCCTCGGGCATCTGGGACTTCTCTGGCCATTCCCAGACCACTCACTTCCCAGAGGAAAGGTTCTGGCTTTTGCTGCTTTTCCCAGAGGCTCATGGGACTGGACCTAGAGGTCTTAGGCCTGGTAGGTGATGGAGCGAGCCCTTATCCCACCTTGCTGGGAAGCAGAGACCCAGTAACAATGCCCAGAAAGCCCTGTGTTTGGGTTCCAACCAGCTGCCCCAGCCCCTGCCGATGAGTTCTTTGAGGGGTGTGGGTGTTGGTTTTGATCCTCCTCCTAAAGGTGGCTCTCTTCTTTTCTAGAAGAGAGGGAGGAGGTGGGAGGTGAAGGAAGCAGCGTTTTAGCTGTGATAAACAAACAAACAAACAAACAAACAAAAGACCCCTCTGCTGGTCTCAGTCTCCCCTTTCCCTGGTCCTCCTTGAGTTTCAACCACACCAGTCTTTGCTCAGTTGACCTCAGCTTCCTCTTGTCTCAGATCCTTTGCACATGCTCTTCCCTCTGCTTGGAACACTAGTCCCACTTTTCCCAGCGATAGGCTAGCTAATTCTTCTTCTTCCTTTTTCTTTTTTTTTTCAGGTCTCAGCTTAAATGTTAAACTCAGCCTTGATTAGGACCCTGGTGCTCCATAGTTACTCAACCCCCCATAATTCTCCTTCAGAATGCTTTCCACGGTCATGATTATATGGCTAACTCTCTGGGATTATTGGATAAATGCATGACTCTCCCATTAGACCAGCAATTCTTAACCATGGGCAGGATTCAAGGATGATTCCACGAATGCAGATGGGAAAAAAAAAACAGGTTATGTCTTCATTTTAACTAGCCTTTGGCAGAAATGGAAATCACAGGGTTTTGCACATTACATTAAAATTGTGGGAGATATTTTGAAAAATCATTTATATTTGACACTAATCCAAAATTACGGTAGTTATTAGACCTGCTGCTCAGTCTTGTTATATAAGGTATTGCTCAAGCAGCTCATTAGAGGACCATATATCCCAAATCTGGTTGCAGTAGCGTTTTTGACACTACTACAGAATTCTTTGTAAACCCTGGGAATTTACAAGATGCATTTAAAAGCATTTTTCTGAAAGGAGTCCATAGGCTTTCTTAGACGGTCAAAGAGCCCATGACACAAAAGGAGTTATAACCCACCCTGGCCAGATGGTGAGCTTCACGGGGGCGGACTGCATCTGTCTTGTTTATTGTTGCATCTCCAAAAACCCCAGCACACCTGCTGGCACATGGCAGGGATGGCTGACTATTCTCCAGATGAATAAATGAGTTGGGGGCAGACCTTCACCTCCCCCAAGTCACTCAAGTCAAGAGGGAAGGGCTGGTTCTTTAACACCCCCTCCCTACTTCATCCCTCTGCTACTGGGAGACTCTGATTTTATGGTATGTAATTGTTGGGGAGAAACCAAGCCCTGGGAGTTAAGAAGCTTATTTCCAGTGAAGAAGGAAAAAGGTTTCCTTCTCTGTCCCACTTTCCATAGTCTGGTGAGGGCCATCTCTGGGGTGCACCCTGGAACTGTGGGGTGCCTCCCTGCACCTGATAGGGCCCAGGACTTCCTACCTTGATTTGTGGGTGGTCTGCATGTCTTTATAGGCAGAATCACTCTTGTTTTGTCTGAGCATTGGCAAGACACTGCAAAGCAAGATGAGTCACTTAGTAAGGCACTGAACATATGGTGCTGCTAAGACAGCACATATCTGTGGGAGAACGAAGAGTTCTCTTTCTAAAGCAGAGATCTTAGACTTTACAGGGTATAGAAATCCCCTGGGACAAAATGTTCAGAACACAGATTCCAGAGCCAGACTCCCAGAGAGTTGCAGACATTAGGCCTGAAGTGCCACACACAACCCACACACATACCACACACACACACACATACCACACACACATACCACACACACAGACTTCTGATGCAGGTGTGTAGAGAGCATACTTTGAAAACTGTCCATGAAATAACGCCCCTTCGAAGTGCTTGTTAAAAAAAATACAGTTTCCTCTAGGGATTCTGATTCAGTGGGTCTGGGATGAAGACGAGAAATCTGTATTTTTCACAAACACCCCAACAGATTCTGATCTTCAGAGACATTTTGGAAAACACCATTGGAGGATTTGAAGAGGTCATCTTCTTGGACGCTGCTGTGGTCTGAATGTTTGTGTCCCCCCCACCCCAGGTTTCTGTGTTGAATCCTAACCCTCAAAAGGATGGTGCTAGGAGGTGGAGGCCTTTGGGAGGTGAATTCGATCACGAGGGTGGAGCCCTAATGACTGGAACTGGTGCCCTTGTGAAAGAAATCCCTGAGAACTAGCCTGCTCTTTCCACTATGTGAGGACACGGTGAGAGGGCGGTTGTCGATGAGAAAGACAGCCCTCGCTGGACGCTGAATCTGCTGTCACCTTGATCTTGGACTTCCCAGCTGCTGGGACTGTGAGAAGTAAGTGTCTGTTGTTTATCAGCCACTCAGTATATGGGATGTTTGTTATACCAGCCTGCATGGACTAGGACAGGTGACCAGAGGGCAGCCTGGCCCTGAAGCTGGGGGCTGGTTGGCTTTCAGGGGTTCCTGAAACCCCCAGAATTCAATGTCAGTCTTGATGGGAGCATATCTGGTGTCTAAAGTGAAATATGAATCCAGATTCTAAAGTGAATAGGGCACAAGAAATCTGACAGCTTTTCCTAACTGTCTCTCAGCAGCTTGGCAGAGAAGCCTTCAATATTTGCTGTCTTAGCGAGAGATTAGGGAGATTTTCGCTGGGAGGAATTGAGGGAGGAAGGGAAACTTCAACAGGTTCTCGCTCTGTAACCATGGTTATTTTATCGTTAACGTGAATGCAGAGGCCATATGATAGGGTGTGTGAACACTGGGTTCTCGTGTGGATTTGTCTTTGAGGATCTGAAGCAGATCACTCTTGGCCATTCTTCTCCATCTACAAGATGGGCCCATGGTAATGGGTACTGGTGAATAAACCCATCTCAGCAAGGTGCTGCGGAGATTGTGTGGCATATAAAGTACGTGAAATAAAAGTAGCAACCATCACCACCACCTTCACCATTTATTGTGTGCTTGTAATATGCCAGGCACAGGCCAATATGTTGAACACATTATCTCAATAGATGCTTAAACTGACTCACTGATGGAGAGATTATTCCCGTAACAGTAGTAACACTTGCCCAGGATATTATGATTTAATTCTCACTACAGCCCCTTGGGATAGGTTGTTAATGAGTCTCATTTTACAGAATTGGAATCAGGCTCAGAGAGGTAAAGCCACTGGCTCAACAGCACACAGCAATTAAATCAAGGAAGTGGAGATTGACCTTAGTCTACTTGGTACCAAGGCCAATGCTTGGATGATACACAATCTCATTTTACAGATGAGAAAACTGAGGTTTAAGGAAAGGCTGAGGGATGTGTTCAAAGGCACCAGGTCTTGAATGCATGTCATTCTGACTCCAAAGCCCGCGTTCATGGTGTGAGTTCTTACAAAGGAAGGAGCCTCTCGGAGCTGATGCCTCCTCACTTTGTCTGTCTTTAACGCTGATCAGCGGCCAGGGCCTTAAGGGCCAACACTGTCTCGAGGGCCTTCAAGTGCCACCCTCCAGAGCCCCGGTGTGAGCTGAGGCAGCTGCAGCAAGATTCATCACTAACAAGCAGAGACGGGGTGCGAGGCATGTGCAGGTGCTCGGTGAACTGTAATTACGGAGACAACAGTAACCGGTAAGTCATGGCCAGCATCCCAGCAGGCTGAAGGCAGTGCCTCGTTTCTTCTCGGGGAGCGATTTGCTCACTGAGAGGGATCTGCGCTGGGGAAGGGAATGTGGGCTCTCGCCTGCGGGCTCCCTGGGTCTTTTAGAGGTCATAAGTCCAGGGGACAAGGTTTTCATCCTGAAGACGGACACCTTAGGTTCAAGTCTGACTCTATGAGCTAATTACCTTGGTCACCAGCTTGAAATTTCAAAGGATTCTTTTTGCTCTGAGGATAGAAATCAGAATCCTAGAGGTGACTTCCCAGGTCCCCAGACTTACACCTCCCTCCATCCCATTTTGGTAGCATTTCAGTTCCTTGCAGGTGCCGCACTCCCTTCTGACCACGTCTGCACGTGCTGCAGTGTGTTCGCCCCCCTGGCCTGCCCTCCCTCCTCTTCCCACACGCACAACTTTGGCTGGCCAGCTCTTTTTCATTCTTCATCCAAAATCTCAGCTGAAAGTTTCTTCCTTGAAGGGAACTTCTCTTGATCCCCATCCCCATCCCAAACTAGATCAGACAGCCCTATTGTCTCCTCTCATAACGCTTTCCGCAATAAAGAATATGATCCATCCACATTCATAAAGGTTCACTGGAAGAATGAATGGGTAAACTTTGGATCCCTGGGAGGCAGTGCAGCAGAGTGGTTAAGAAACACTTTTTGGAATTAGAAAGATCTGGATTCAGGTTGTGGCCTTACCATTTGTTAGCTGGGTGACCCTGAATGAGTTACTTAGCCTCTCTGAACCTCATCTTCTTATTTGTAAAATAAAGATGAGGGTACCTACCTCGTAGGGTTGTTGGGAGGACTTAGGGAGGTGACACACAGGAGCTAAGTGCACAGTTTGGGGCTCGTCACAGAGAAAACGCTCAACACTTGGGAGCTGCTGTTCTTAATGTTACCACGATCACTCTGACAGCCTTTATTTGCTCCCAGTGTCAAGGGAACATACCTGGGCGCTTGTTTTTGCATCCCGTTTTCCACTGTGTTTGTTCTCCGAGTATCTTCCCGAACCATCTCCAGGAGCTTCTGCAGATCTGGTGGGAACAGGAGGGGTCACTGTCTGCAGGGTGCTCTGGAGGCAGGACTGAGCAGGTCGGGCCCAGCCCCCCAGGCTGACATCGCCTCTGCTTCGGAGTATGGGGGAGCTGGAGAAGGATTAGATTGGGGTCTAGAAGTGTGGCAGGTTGTAAATGTGACATGTGGCTCCTCTGCTTATAACCGAGGACTGGCCATTTTCCTTTGGGACGATGTCTAAATTCCTCCACGCAGCCTGGGAGGCCTTGCAGGGTCTGGGCTGCCCTCTCTCTCTCCTGTCTCGTCTTACATTTTGCCCCGACACCCCCACCCCCACCTTAAACTCTATCATCGCCTGGGAGAAGTGCTTCCACTTCCAAGAAGAAAGCATCCTGCTCGGGGAAAACCCTCCCTGATCCCACAGACCTGAAGCTCCAAACTGCTGGTCCACAGGCTGCATCAAGCTTGCAATTGCGTCTGATTTGACTTGATTTGATGCCCAAACGTTTCAAAACTGGGAGTTTCCCCTTAAAAACTCCAAGCCTCCAGCTTCCCCAGAAAGGACTCTGAGATGGCCCATTCCTGCCACGTGCCGACGGGGCCTTTAGACTCTCCCGTGCACTCTCCGGCGGCCCACGGCCCCCTCCCCGCCTCACTGCATTACTTTACTTGTATTTTCATACTTAATAGTGTTGCTTTTTACCTAATGTAGAGCTATTTCTTTGTGCCTGACTATTACGAGTTGACTTGTGACCTCCAGGAAGACAATGTCGAAGTCCTAATCCTCGGGACCTCAGAATGCGGATTATTCATATTCTTATTTGGAAGTAGGGTTCTTGCAGGTGTAAGTAAGATGAGGTCATACTGGAGTGGAGTGGGCCCTTAATCCAATATGACTGATGTCCTTGTAGTAAGAGGACAGAGACATGAAGGGAGAAGGTGGCCATGTGATGACAGAGGCAGAGACTGGCCTGACAATGTCTCCACAAATCAAAGTGCCAAGGGTCGCCAGCAACTACCAGAAGACATAAACAGCAAGGAAGGAAACGTCCATGCAGGTTTCAGAGGCAGCGTCGCCCTGCTGACACCATGATGTGGATTCTAACCTTCAGAACTGGGGGACAATAGATTCCTGTCGTTTTAAGCCAGGAAACGGCTTTAAGTTGGAACTTTGTTAGGGCAGCCCCTGGAGGCAAATACACTGACGCTCTCAAAAGTTGGAAAATAATATACATTTGGAGTAAGCTATGTGCTTCAAGAAAAGTGGGAGAGTGGATGTACAAAGTGTTTTATATGGATACAGATGTGCAAGTCTCTGGTACTGTCCTTGCCACACGAGCGTCTCAGTCCACACTAGCTGAATAAATAAGTGAAAAAAAGTAGGAAGGATGTGGGAGACTATGAGCGAGGTCTGGAAAATCAGTGAAGGAGGACAAAGCCAATGCAGACACTTCTCACTCTTTAGAGGTGCCTGTAGTCAGCTCAAGTTCAAGTCTCAAAGCCATGCCTGGAAGGGGGAAGCCCGACGCTTCCCAGGGCCATAAGTTCCATCTTGCTTATGCAGTCACTGGGCGCCAGGGGAAGGGCACCCCTCCCCACTTAGTGACCTGGGAGCCATCGAGGCTATGACAAGCATCAGTGTTTAACCGTTTTCCACTCACCTTCCTCCCCCTCAAGTAGTTTATCTTTCTAGTAACTTTTGGGCGTGACTCCATTTGACCTGAATCTGACCTGCATTTCTGTCTTGTCATGCCCACCTCCTCTACTGCCACACATCCCAGAATCCTT